CCACACAAGCGTGGATGTGCCGGCACCGCGGAGTGCACTATTTGCCAGTACTGGAAAGGCGTCTTACACCACAGGCTATGGTACTGCCCTGCGCTGGAACAGGAACGCATGATGGGAGTTGGGCCTGAAATTTTGGAGGCGGCGCGATAAGCGCCGAGCAATAATACGCAGTACACACGTGGCCTTATCCCGCGAGTTGCCCTCCCACAGGTGCCACCGGCATGCATGCACGAGATCTGGCACTATGCCTACGGCCCCAGCTACAGCAGATCACTGCTGAGGTATACACGGACGGATCGGGGCGCACACTGACTGGGTGGTCTGAAGGATGCCGAGCTGGCTGGGGTCTGAATCTGATGGATGGGCGGCGATTCAAGGGTATAGGTCTTGGACCACTACCTGGAGCGCAGCAGTCAGTACCACAAGCTGAATTGCTTGTGGTGCTCATGACGATGAAGAATGGCATCCTCCCACTGCACATCCACACTGGCTGCATGATGGTCACCAATGGTGTTCGCAATGGACGTGAATGGTGCCTCCACCCACGGCGGGCGTTGCCGCCGACCTCAGCTTGGCGAAGCGCGCGCTGCCGCAGGACGCCACCGACGAGCACGGCATGCCCCTGGAACGGGCCCGCCAGGTCGCCCCGTGGACCGGGAAGACGCCGGAGATCCTGGAGGCCGAGGCTGTCGCAGACCGCGGCACGCCGCCGGGGCGCCGCCCGCCAGACCAGCGCCGCGGCACTCGACGCGCCGGTGCCGCTGCCGCCGCCGACGGCCGGCGCGCCCCACCTCGGCGCCGCCGCGCGGCGCCGCCTCGCGGGCCGAGGCCCGCGCCCGGGGCCGGCTGAGCAGGCCCACCGCCCAGCGCAGCAGATCGAATGGCTGGCGCTGCCTCTTGTGTCCCCGCGTCGCGAGCTCCCGCCTGGGCCCTACGAGAATGAGGGCTGAGGCCTGTAGAGTGCGGCGGCCCATTGGGATGGGGGCCCCCCTCCCGGCCGCAGAGTGCGTCGGCGGCTGGGCCGTCCGCGCCTCGTCTTGGAAGGAAGCCCCTGGCCTAATGGGCGGCCGCCCCCGGTGGGACCCCGCACGTTTCCAGAGGACCGCCTGCGGGGACCCAGGACGAGGACGAGGGAGGCTCCCGCAAGAGGCCCCGCGCGGCGCCCGAGGCCCTGGGAGACTCCGACGGCCCCCCCGTGGCCCAGGGAACTCAGACCCAGGTTGTTGGGGGGGACTCGTCTCTCCTCCCCTCTCGCCACTGGAGCCTCCTGCCGCTGCTGCCGATGCCCCCCCTCCGCCTCCTCCCGCTCCGGCCTCGTCGCCCTCCTCCGCTCCTGGCCCCAGGTCCCAGGCCAGGCCACTGGACGAGGCTGCGGAGCCTGGAGGGAGGCGGACGAAGCCTCGGGGGAGGTTCCAGGGCCGACCCCGAGGGGGCGTGCGAGAGGCCGCGACGGCCCTCGCCGCTGCCTCGGAGAAGGCCCCACGGCTCGGACCCCGAGTCGGGCCTCAGGCAACACCCCCAACAAGGTGTTCCCCCCCGCGGGCCCCGTCCCGCCCGGGGTCGCCGGGGGGGCACATCCTGCGCAGGACTGGAGAGAGCATCGCCTCGCCTGCACATGTTGTGGGTCTCTCTCTGGGCGTGCCGGTCGCTCGCAGCTTTCCGCGGAGTGCGATCCCACGCCGATGCTGGGAGACTCCCCGCGCAAGTGGCGCAGGGAGAATCTTGCCTCGGACCGCCACCTTGAAGAGGGCAAACGGCACCCCATCCACAGGTCCCGTCGGCTCTTTGTGGATGACCCATCGGTGCAGCGGTTGGGGCTTCTCTCTGAATCCTTAACTTCTGAACTCGTTCAGTTTTGTGGTTTGGCCGTCGTTGGGATTCGATCGACTCTGGTCCTGGGCAGCTCTCCTGGCCAAGTGTAGCTGCAGGCCCGCTCATGAGAGCTTGCGGGTTTCGGTATGTGCTCGATAGCGCTCGCTCGTCTCTTCCACCGCTGCCACTGCCTCGATCCAGCCTGTCATTCGGAGCGTCTTCCGATGTGGTCGCTACTACTTATCATCATTATCCTCCGCCTGTTCCTTCTAGCGCTTCTCCTGCTCATCCTTCTCCTCCCCATCCTTACTTCCTAGGACGCAACACCCCCACATCCCAACCTTGACTACCTACCAGACCACCCCAACCCAACCCGAAGACCCCAATTTCGGGTTTGGGGGGGTACGGGTTCCATACGTGTTTTTTTCTATGTTCCCCGACCCCCCCCAACTGGAAATGGAGGGCAAATTGAGGCCTTCGGGTTGGGTTGGGGTGGTTTGGTGGGTGGTGAAACCTAGTCGGCCGATAGCAACCCCGCCGTCCTAACTGTCAACACACAACGCAAACTCAACTTGCTTCTCGCCAACATGTCGTCGAGTTGCGAAACGTGTAGCAAGAATGGGACGGAGTGAACATCACTTGGGTAACCCCAAGCGGGTGGTCGCCTCCTACCCACCAAAAAATCAATACAACGTCAACGTTTTCCGGCGCACATCGCGTGCGGACGCCTGGCCAACCCTGCGCGGGACCCCGCGTCCTACCAGCCAAGAAATACCGCAACGTCGACGTTGTTCTTGACAACATGTACTTTCTCCTCGTCGGCGCTGCGACCCGCGTAGCGGGAATGGGACGCGGCACACATCGCGCGGGGACGCCTGCTCGTCAACATGGACTTTCTTGTCGTCGACGCTGCGGCCGTCGGGCTGAGGAGCTGGGCGGGCGGCAAGTCATAATGCCTCAATCAAGTGCGGTTCGCCGCCGGCGCGCCCGTTGTCGTGTCCGAGCGTCTAGTCGCCCACGATATAAGATGAGCGAGAGGCGTCGGACGCGACGCACTTGCTTCTTATGTTGTGGGAGGGCGGGTGGGAATGGACGAAGCCCTATGGCTGGTTCGAGCTGGCTAACTTGATCCTCCTCCTTACCCCTGCCCCTCCTGACCTCATCCCTCATCCTCAGACTCAGCATCAAATCGTCATCATCGCAATCTCCATCGCTATCATCGTCATCATCGCAGTCATCCTCCTCCCCGTCATCAACCTCGTCAGCATCGTCGTCACCACCTGCACTAGCACCAGCAACACAATAACCACCCTCACCACCATCGCCATCGCAATCATCAGCAACACCATCATCGCCATCGTCCATCGTCATCATCCTCATCGGCACTATCATCCTCTACATCCTCGTCAACCGTTACGTCACGAAGAACACGTACAGTACCGCCTGCTACGGTTACTGATAGCATCGTCAGTATCAACATCCACACTGACCTCGTCATCATCATCGCCACCGTCCTCAAAATCAGCTAGAGTAGCATCATCCTCACCGCATCGTCATCTTCAACATATTCATCATCAACATCGACTGCACCACTCATCAACAGCAGCATCATTACCACCATATTCTTCATCAACAGCATCAGCATCACCAACATCATCCCCAGCATCAGCATCAGCAGCATGAGCGGCATCATCGGCAGCATCAGCATCATCATCATCAGCATCAACAGCATCATAATCATCATCGACATCAACCTCATCATCATTATCAGCAGCAGCAGAGCATCGTCGTCATCATCATACGCATCAACATAAGCATCAGCATCATCATCATCAGCATCAGCATCCACATCATCGTAATCATCACGATCAGCATCGCATCAGCATCATCAGCAGCATCATCATCACCAGCATCATCATCATTGTCATCATCATCACCATCATCAGAATCATCATCAGCATCATCATCATCAGCATCATCAGCATCATCATCATCATCATCATCATCATCATCATCATCATCGGACTCCACATCAAATCGTCATCATCGCAATCTCCATCGCTATCATCGTCATCATCGCAGTCATCATCCTCCCTGTCATCAACCTCGTCAGCATCGTCGTCACCGCCTGCTCTAGCACCAGCAATACCATAATCACCCTCACCACCATCGCCATCGCCATCGTCAGCAACACCATAATCGCCATCGTCCATCGTCATCATCCTCATCGGCACTATCATCCTCTACATCCTGGTCAACCGTTACGTCACGAAGAACACGTACAGTACCAACAACTATGGTTACTGACAGCATCGTCAGTATCAACATCCACACTGACCTCGTCATCATCGTCATCGTCATCGTCCTCAAAATCAGCTACAGTAGCATCATCCTCATCGTATCGTCATCATCATATTCATCATCAACATCAACTGTACCACTATCGTCGTCGGTATCAGCTTCAGCAGCAGCATCATCATTACCAGCAGATTCCTCATCAACAGCATCAACATCACCAACATCATCTCCAGCACCAGCATCAGCAGCATAATCGTCGTCATCGGCAGCATCAGCATCATCATCATCATCATTATCATTATCATCATCATCATCATCATCATCAGCAGCATCAACATCAGCATCATAATAATCATCGACATCAACATCATCAGTATCAGGAGCAGCAGATCATCGTCGTCATCATCATACTCATCAGCATAAGCATCAGCATCGTCATCAGCATAATCTTCCACATCATCGTCATCATCACTATCAGCATCGTATCATCATCAGCATCATCATTATCACCAGCATCATCATCATTGGCATCATCATCATTATAATCATCATCATCATCATCATCGTCATCACCATCATCAGCATCAGCATCGTCATCCCCATCGTCATTGTCACACTCACCATGATCATCATCATCAGCAGCAGCAGCATCAGCATCAGCATCAGCATCAGCATTATCAGCATCAGAATCAGCATCATCATCGGAATCATCGCCAGCATCGTCATCATCGCAATCGCCGTCACCATCATCCTCACCATCGTGTTCACAAGCGGGGAGCACGATGGTGAGTTCGCATTCGCATTCAGTGGCTACGAGCTCTGGGCCAAAGGGTTGGCCGCACAAGCCTCGCACGAGCTCCGCGGAGCACAACTCTGGATTCCACAGCTACCCTCTTTCCTCCCCTGACCCCCCATGGAGTGCCACCACTGGTGGGCTGCACCTGCACACCGGAATTTCCTGTGCATGAGCAGCGGTTCCCAGTGCAGGAGCAAACATTAAAATTGACGGCCGCGACCCTGGCAAGACATGCTCGAGTCACGCGCCAGCGCCAGGCCATCCCTCCCCTCACTGGGGAAACCAAAATGTACCGATACTGCCACTCCCCGGACCTCTCCCGGGTGCGTTTTGACCATGATCCCACCAGCACTCTGGGCGTAGGTGGTCTACGAAGCTTCCTCTTCCAACACCCTTCTTTCCCTTCGGGGAGGAGTTTCTTAATACACCCTATAAATAATACACCACCTCCCCCAGGCGACCGGCAGCCAACCAGAAACCATGAGGGCACCATGCGGACCCCCCCCCCCACCATCCTGGTTAAAATCCAATACAAGACGCACTCTGCCTCCACATTTCGAGCATGCGCGGCCAGCCAGATGCGGGCCCCCCACCATCTCTGTCAAAACAATACAACTTACACTTTGGGGCAAAGTTTTGAATCATGTTTGTGAGGCCTGCGAGCTCTTTGCACTGTGTTTGACAGGGACGGCGGGGGTGACAGCATATTGCCTGATGAGCGCAGGGCTACCATCCCTGACAAAAAATCTCGCGGCTAAATCAAGATTATGTGTGGCCACCCCGCGATCACTGTCAAGCGGTTTTTGACAAATATGGCGGGGGTGGTGGCGTATGGCCTGCTGTGCGCAGGCCCACCAGACACAATGACGGGCATTGGTTTTCCACAAAGATGGTGGGGGCGGACATGTTTCCCGATGTTTGCTGTCACGTGCGCAGGCGCACCTGACACGCTCCGCACGTGCCCCGAACGTAGCGCACCTGACGCGGCTGGAGCATGCGGCACACCTGGAGCTCGCGAAGCACCTGGCACGCGTGGCGCACCTTGCCCCAGCGTCGCGCACATGAGGTCGGTTTGGGTTCCCAGTCGCTGCCCATCCAAAGGCGACCGCTTAACATGCTCAGGCTCGGGTGTTAATCCCACCAGCCTTCTGGGCGTCTGTGGTTTAGGGAGTTTCCTCTTCCACCCCTTCTTCTTCCCCTTCGGGGAGGGGTTTATCACTGTTCCCTATTAGTATACACCCCCTCCCCCAGGCGACTGGGAGCCAACCAGGGTCAATGCGGCCCCCCCTCCCCGCACACACATCCCTTGTAAAAAACAATGCAAAACACACTCTGCCTCCAAATTCTGAGCATGCGCAGCGAGCCCGATGCGGCCTCCCCCCACCATGCCTGTCACAAAAGCACTACAGGGTACACTTGGCGGCGGCGGCGGCTGCGGCGGCTGCGGCGGGGGCAGCGGCTGCGGCGGTTGCGACGGTGGCGGCGGCGGTGGCGGCGGCGGCGTGGGCGGCGGCGGCGGCGGCGGCGGCGGCGGTGGCGGCGGCGCCGGCGGCGGCAGCGGTGGCGGCAGCGGCTGCGGCGGTGGCGGCTCCGGCGGCGGTTCGGCAGCGGGGCGACGGCGGCGGGGCGGCGGCGGCGGCGGGCGGCGCGGCGGCGGCGGCGGCGGACGGCGGCGGCGGGCGGCGCGGCGGCGGCGGCGGCGGACAGCGGCGGCGGCGGCGGCGGCGGCGCGGCGGCGGCGGCGACGGCGGGCGGCGGCAGCGGCGGATTCGCCCGCAGTAGCTGCCCATCCGAAGACGACTGCTGAATAAGCTGCGGCTCGGGCCAGCCCCCAAGAAACCTCCAAGAGGCCCCAAGAGACCCCCCAGAGGCACCCAAGATGCTCCAAGAAGCCTCGGCGAGAATGCCAAAACGGCCTCGGCGAGGAAGCCAAAATCATTGGTTGTACGAGGGTTTGGGCCCCATTTTGGGCTCCTGGGGGGGGAAGCTAATTAATGCTCCCCTCTTGTTTGATCGATCTCCTCCAAGATGGCCCCAAGAAGCGCCCAGGAGGCCCCATGAGGCCCCAAGATGGCCCCAAGATGGCCCCAAGAGGCCCCCAAGAGGCCCCCAGGAGGCCCCGAAGAGACCCCCAAGAGGCCCCAACAGACCCCCCAGAGGCACCCGAGATGCTCCAAGAAGCCTCGGCGAGAATGCCAAATCATTGATTTTACGACGGTTTTAGCCACATGTTGGCCTATTGGGGGGGGGGGGCACTGATTAAGATCAAGAGCGCCTGGGAGAGCCCAAAATGACCTCCAAGATGGCTCAGGATATCCCAAGATGTCTCATAATGACTTCCTCTGTGTGCTGTCCACTTCCCCGATCGAGGCAATTCCTCTGGGCATCGTTTCTGGATGGGCTGGTGGGGATTCGCGAAGCGTCAACGATTTACGTGTTGGGAGGGCGGGTGGGAGTGAGCTGGACGGCTTGCTAGCTGGGAGAGTGCCTTGACCCCTCCCCCTGCCCCCTCCCCTGGACCTGGACGGGGCGGGCCGCGAGGTGTCGGAGGGTACCTTTTCACCCGAGATGGCTCCCAGAGCGCCTCGGAAACCCAAGATGGTCTCCAAGACGGCTCAAGATAGCCCAAGACACCTCAAGATGGCTTCCAAGATACTCCCAGAGGCCCCAAGACCGCCCCAAGATGGCTCCAAGAGGCCTACGAGACCCCCAAGGAGACCCCCAAGGAGACCCCCAAGGAGGCACCCAAGGATGACAATCAATGATGTTTGCATTGTCGCCCGTTCGCTTTCGATAGCCTTCTGAGGCTCCAAGATGGCTCCAAGATGGCCCAAGAGGGCCCCAAGAGAGGCCCGAGAAAGCCCCAAGACGGCCCAAAAATCCCCCAAGAGCGCTCCAAGAGCGCCCCGAGAGCGCCCCAAGAGGCGACTGTGGGGACTCCCGAGGGGGGTGGGAGGGGCGAATTGGAGCTCCCCTCTTTGTTGGCCGGTGTCCTCCAGGATGGCCCCAAGAGAGAGTGCCACTCAAGCTTCCAAGAGCGCCCCAAGAGGGCCCCAAGAGGCGCCCAGACGTCCCCCAAAGGCGCCCAAGAGGCCACTAAGAGGCTCCCAAGAGACCCCCAAGAAGCCGCCTCAAGAGGACCCCCGAGGCACCCAAGGCGCTCAAAGACGGCCTTGGACCTGCCAAGATGCCCCCAAGACGCTCCAAGAGGCCTCCAAAAAGCTTCCAAGAGACATCCGAGGAGACTCTGAGAGGCAACTCGCCTGGGCATCGTTTCTGGATGGGCTGGTGGGGATGCGCGAAGCGTCAAGAATTTCGAAGCAAATCCAGCGGTGGCGACGAGGGCCTCCCAGGAGGGCGAGAGCGGGGAAAAAGGGCGAGAAGGGTAGCGGTATGGGTACCTTTTTGCCTCCTCCGACTCCCCATCCTCAATGCAGCAGGCACGTTTGACAGGACGTCTGGCCACGAGAAAGAAGTCTCGGGGCATACCCTTCGCCGAGCGCGGAGCTTCGATCGTGCCCAGGGCTCTGCGGCCCCACAAGGGGAGCCAGGAGCTCACCGTGGGGGTACCCGAGGTACCCGAGGGCGGTCCAGTTTCTTATGGGATGTGCCCACTGTAGGTGTCTCTCCCCTCGCCGCCGTGCCTACGATTTCCGTTCACTGTCCACCAGCAGGGGAGGGGGAAACCATCCCCTCTCCATCTCCGCTCCCTCCCTGACTCAACCCCTTGCCTCCCCTACATTTCCCCGCCCCCCACTTTCCATCCACAGCACGACCAAAAAGGGTCGGGATTGACAATATTCAGCGGACAGATAAGTCAAATCTTCAAGTGGAGAGGCCAGCCAATGTCACGTGGAGACGAGCTCGACTCCAGAGCTGCAACTCTGCCTTTGCAGAAGATTCTCTTGAATCGCCCCACACACATCGCGCAACTCTTAATCAGGGCATATCATAGCTACAGCTTTCTCTTCACATGCATGAGCTCTACAAACCCTCTGGGCGAAGGTTGTTAGGCGGTCTCTCTTCCAACCCCCCTTCTCCCTCGGGAAAGGGTTCACAGAAACAGCGCCGAGTCAGTCACTGCCAGTGGCTACAGGACTGTGCTCATCGTGGGTGAAACTGGCGATAACGACGCAGATTCCAAAGCGAGGGCTGTTGCGCTTGCGGCGCCGGGATCTGGCCGTGCGACGCGGAGGCGTCGCACTCCGCTCACAGATGCCACAGCTCACGCCACGGCATGGCGTCTCGAATCGGCCTCTGCAGTGCCAGTCAACAGGACTAACATAATCTTGCGCCCGGGGACAACCCTGAGATCCAACGTTCCAAAGCAACATGCAACCTCGCGACAAAAACACGGCAAGAGCCCTAGACCCCATCTTTCTCTGGCATCTCTCGAGCCGGAGCGACATGTGAGGGTCCTATATAGGGCCCGAACACGGGCGAGAGCCCCTGGTGTGATCGTCGTCCTCGTCGTCGTGCTCGTTGTCGTCCTCGTCCTCGTCCTCGTCCTCCTCCTCCTCCTCGTCCTCGTCCTCGCCGTCGTCGTTGTCGCCACCGTCCCCGTCGTCGTCGTCGTCCTCGTCGTCGTTTTCGTCGTCGTCGTTCTCGTCGTCGTCCTCGTCGTCGTCGTCGCCGTCGTTGTTTGGGAAGAGCTGGATCCCGGCGGCGCTCGGAGGCGCGAAGGCGAATGCGCGTCGCGCTTTTTGCCCCCCCCCCCCCCCCCCCCCTCCCATCTCCCCTCCCAGCTGGGGCCCGCGGGGGCCCGGCCGATAAGCCCGCGCTCGCGCCTCCCCCCCCCAGCAGCATAGCGCCAGCTCAGGGAGGGCCGCGGGCTCGGGGCCGGGTTTTTGTTCGGTGCCGTCGCGGATCGGCCAGGCGAGCCACGGGCCCCAATGGGTTACCAGGGCGTTGCGTTCCCGACTCGGCGACGTGGACCCTCCCCCGACGAGGGTTTATCGAAGCTTTAGCGCGACGTGGTCACCCCAGAAGCCCCAGCGGCGCCGATCGCACACATCACCCCAGCGTAACCACACCCACCGTGGTCGCGCCGACCCCGAGTCCCAAAACGGTGCGGTCACCTCGGATCCCCGCTGACTCACCGCACGGTGTGGCTACCGCAACGCCTGGCGGCACCCGAGCAACGCCCGCCCACGTCCCACGTGCGAGGCTGGGGGGTGCGCACGGTCAGACACCCCAGTGGTCCAGGCTTGCCCCAGCAGATCCCTTGGGCAAGGGGCAACGACAAGGGGGGGACTGGCATAGGGTGGGGGACACATCGACCTGGAATCGGAGATCCATCGCCGACAGTTAGATTGGCGATAATTTCCCGATCGTGAATCTGCACGTTCCTGGGCGGGTTGGATCTTGCCCCTATCGGCGATCAATGGGCGATATGGGAACCGATGCGTCTCCACCAATGCCTATCCCATCCTTATCCACGCCCCTCGTGGAGGTAGCACGAGGAGGCCTCGACGCCGCAACCCCCAGGTCGCTCAGGCCCCTGAGAAAAGCGCCGCTGACTTCCCCGAGGGACCCAGCGAATGCACCTTATCATCATCATCATCATCATCATCATCATCATCATCATCATCATCATCATCATCATCATCATCATCATCATCATCATCATCATCATCATCATCATCATCATCGTCGTCGTCGTCGTCATCAGCAGCAGCATCAGCATCATCATCATCAACATCATCATCATCATCATCATCAGCAGCATCATCATCATCATCAGCATCATCATCATCCTCCTCCTCATCCTCATCACCATCACCATCATCACCAGCATCATCATCATCATCATCATCATCATCATCATCATCAGCATCATCAGCATTATCATCATCACCATCATCATCGTCATCATCATCACCACCATCGCTGCCCGTGGCTGGGCCCACCTCGGGGCCAAGAGCGGTGCACACGCCCTCCCGGCCCAGGCCTCGAGGCATGCGCACCGCTCCCGGGCTCCCAGAAGGGGAGCCGGCCGGGGGCAGCGGCCACCCGAGGAAGCCAGCCCGGGCTGCCGCCCCAAGGCCCGGGCGCCGAGGTCGCCCCGAGCTGCCCCGGGGGGCCCGATGAGACCACAGCCGGGATGACGTCGGGCACGTCCCTCTACGGGAGGAACATCCAAGAATGGGAAAAGATAGTCTGGGGACGATGCTGTTACTATTTGTGGTTATCTCTGGAAGACCGTTTGGCTATATAGCTTTCGTCCAAGATCGGCCTGTAGGGGGACAGGCCGGGCTTTCAAGCTGGGGATGCGCCCCGGGACCTGCCTGCGTTCACAGCCGCAGGCCTTGCCTCTTCCTCCTGTCGACGGCGAGCGAGGGGGGCCTTCCGAGAAGGCCTTCTCCTTCTCGCTCCCCCCCTCGCTCGCCGCCGATCCAGGGGGGGGGCCTCTCAAAATCGATTGTCCAGACCGCCGCCGGCCAGGCCCACCCCTGGGCCCAGGACAGGCGCTCCCTGGCGAAACCACGGGGGCGTATACACCGCTCGTGGGCCAAGGATGGGCCCGGCCAGTGCCAATGGATCCTTGGGTCTGAAGATACAGGCGAATGTAATCCCACCAGCCCACTGGGCGACAGGTGGTCTAACGAGGGTCTCTTTCCTCTTCCACAAACCCTCTTCCCTTCGGGGAGGGGAACCCTCCCCCTCCCCTCCTTGAGGATTTCTGGAAGGTTTCGCGATGTGTCGGAGGCTCCTGTTTCGGCCATTGGGGGGACAATGATCTGACACCCCTCACTAGGATCATGTCCTCCGATGGGGGGGCCTGAATCGAGAACCCCCCCTCTCTTTGACCGATCGCCTTCAAGATGGCCCCAAGAGGCCATCCAGGGCTCCCAAGAGGCCCCCAAGAGGGCCCAAAAAGCGCACCAAGAAGCCCCAAGATGCCTCCAAGAGGCACCCGAGAGGCCCCCAAATGGCCCCCGAGCGGCCTCAGAGAGCCCAAGATGACCTCCAAAAAGGCCCAGATAGCCCAAGCTGGCTCAAGATGGCTCCCAAGATGCCATAACCAGCCCCAAGACCGCTTCAAGACGGCTCGAGATGGCCACGGAGCCTCCAGCCTTTCTCGCTGTTTGACAATGCGTGTCTCTTCTTCTTCCCCCGTCAGCTCTCATGGACATCGTTTCTGGATGGGCCGGTTGGGATACATTGTTTGGGTCGCGGCCGCAAGCGAAGGCGCAGGCGGCGGGTCGGTAAGTCCGGGGCCCGGTCCTTACTAATTTACAGCAAGCAGCAAACTAAGCGCGGGGTCAAACCTAAGCTGCATAAGCCGCAGCTGGTTGGGATACTTTTTTGATCTGCGGCCCCAAGGAAGGCTCCAGAGGGCGGGTCAATCGGGCTGCTGGGGCACAGAGCCAGATAATTTGCGAACCCAGCCGTCACTGTCGACAGCCGACCGCACATGCAAGAAAGCCGAGCTTGGCGACGACCGGGGGGGACGGGCGCGGGAAGAGTGCGAGGGGACGCCGAAACGGCGCCAGCACAACACGACGGAGCAAGGAGGAGAAACGCAAGCGGGCCATAAGCCGACGCCGGAAGGCGCAAGCGACCACGAGCAAGCAAGAAAATTGCCAGCGGGCCAAAAGCCATCGCCGGAATGCACAAACGAGGAACAAAGTGAACCCCATTGAGCCGCACAAAAACGGCACCCAGTGACAGCGGAGCGACGCACAGTGAGAACAGGTTACGCGAAGCGTGAACAATTACGTATGCATGTACACATACATCGCCACATGCATAGACACCTCAATATACATGGCTTGGTGCATGTACACAAAATGCATAGACCTAAGCATACACACGTGCATACAGGTAGACGTGTAAACACACAGATACATATACATGTACCGATACATATGTAGATACAGACATATATACATACACATATACACACATCTCTACACACATATATATATATATACATGTATGTATGTAACTCAAATACCCATACATACACATGTGCAAATACAGCTACACTTACGCATACATAAACATGTACATATACATGTGCAATTACGTTTACGTATACTTGTGCATATACATGTACATATACACGCATGGACATGTACAAATACATGTACACATACATATACATATGTTTACATATGCCCTCACATGCCTGCATCTATATACATACGTACGCATGTACACACACTTATACATACAAATCTACGTATATGTGTACGTGCACATCTACGTATGCAACTGCATATATTTGTAAAATTGTACATATTTGTGTACGTACAGATACACATAAACATATGCATCGACATATGCATACACCAGTTCCCATACATATTCGAGCACATGTACACACATCTATGCATATTCGTATACATGCACAGATACAACAACATGCATATACGTGTACGAGAACATGTACAGATGCATGTATAATTGCGAAGATGCATAGACCTGAACATTTACACACGCGTATACGCGTACGTGTACATATAGAGCTGTATGCATATACGTATATATACGTGTACATCGACATGTCCATATACATAGATGTATGCATTTTCTCGCACCAAAAGATATACATAAAAAGTACGTGTACCTTTACACATACGTGCATGCATACATATATATATACACATATAGGTGTATATATACACATACAGACGTATCGACGGACAACTACATACATACATGTAGGCGTTCATGTATGCATGTTTTTTTTTGTTTGGACCGGGCCACGCTTGCATGCATGCATGTATGCATACATAACATAGTCGCAACATTGAAACACATACATACAGACAGGCAGACAGACATTCATACGGACAGAAATCCATATATACACATACACACATACGTACACACATACATACATAGAGACATAAGCGCGTGCGCGCGTGCGTGCGTGCGCGCATGTATGTATACATGTATGCATACAATGTACACATAAGTACATATACATACATATATACATACACACATACATGCATGCATGCACGCACGCATGCCTACATACATCAATGCACCAATGTATACATATATATATAGCTACATAGATGCGCAGATATTCAGATATTCAGATCAATATATTTACATATACATATATACATACGTATGTGTGTAATCATACATATACATATGCACACATATACAAATGTAAATACATACGCGCATATATAATGATATATAACTGAGAATACACCTTTACATACACATGGATACACCCATTTACATAATTCTACACTAGTGCAAATACATACATGTATACATATGTGTCGATGTGCACATTCAGATACCGTTGCCCTCGCATCCCCTGAGCCATAACTGAAAATGGAATCCTGCCGCGGCGACGAAGGCGCCACAGGCCCAGGAGCCCCCCAAGAGGAGAGCCGGAGAGTTCCCTCAGAACCGCGATGCCGTCGGCCCCTTGGAAACCTGCCCGACGCGAGCCACCAAGAGCGCGTTTCTTTATGTTCGGCGATGACGGGCGTCATGGGGGGGGGGGGCGAAGAGGGGGTATGACGTAACGCCACCCCCCGCCGTGTGGCTCCGGCACCGCAGCCGCGCCCGCACGCGAGACGCGACGAGCGACGAGCGACGACCGACGACGACGACCACGACGACGACGACGACACGAGCAGCATGTAGGTGGCGATATGCCCCACTGCGCCTGTGTACACCACAACGCTCGCGTGCACCACAACGCGCGTGTATACCACAGCGCCTGCGTACACCGCAACAACCGTGTGCAACGCAGCGCCCGTGTACACCACAGTGCTTGCGTATACTACAGCGCCGGTGTACACGTGCACACCGCAAGTAGCATGTGCAACACAGCGCCTGTGTATACCACACAACTTGCGTGCACCGCAGCGCCTGTGCACGCCACAGCGCGCGTCTACACCACAGCATCCGCGTGCAACAACGCAGCGCTGGTGTACACCGCAATGCCTGCGTGCATGGGACACGTAGACGGAGCATGTACGTGAAGATCTGCTGCGGACAACTAGACGCCACGCCAGGAATGTGCTGATAATCGAATGCGACGTTCTTCCCTCCTCCTTCCTCCTCCACCTCCTCCTCCTCCTCATTATCCCCCTCCTCCTCCTCCTCCTCCTTTTCCTCCTTTTCCTCCTCTTCCTCCTCCTCCTCCTCCTCCTTCTCCTCCTCCTCCGTACCCCCTGTCGGGCGGGTTGGCGCTACAGCGCACGTGCGCATTTCAGCGCGCACCACAGAATGGTCGATTGAATCGGTCCACCCGGTTCTCTGACGGCCAATTTAGGTGGAGCCTCCTGGACGCAGATGGGAAGAGTTGGGGTGATGCGGGCGGGCTCGGGAGGACTCGTACATTCCAGCAGCGCTCCGTTGTCCATTGAAAGTATGTTATACTGTTTTCTGTGGAATCCACAAGCGCTCCATTTTGCCATAAGAATTCGTTCTAACATTCTATATACAGCAGTGGTGCTGTGTTGCGCACGGCTGCTGTGGAACACACAACCGCCGTGGTGCACACAGGCACTGCAATGCACGCAGGTATTGTGGTATACACTGGTGCTGTGTCGCACACTGCTGATGTGGTGTACGCAAGCGCTGCGGTGTGCACAAGTGCCCGCAAGCACGGTGGCACAAACTGACGCTGTGTTGCACGTGGCTGCTGTGGTGTACATGGGCGGTGTGGTTTACACAGGCGCTGTGGTGCACGCAGGCATTGTGGTGTACACAGGCGTTGTGGTGCAAATCGCCACGTACATGCTGGCGCTACCCGTCTTCCGTCATTCCTAAGCATTTCCAGACGCCGCCGCCGCGAAACGTGACGTCATCAACCCCCTCCCCCCCCCCCCCCAAGGATTGCCATCATCGGCCCGGAATAAGAAACAGGCTTCAGCCGCGTCCGCGCGCATGACGACTATGAGCGACGAGCGACAAACCACGAGCGACGACGACGACGACGACGACGACGACGACGACGACGACGACGACGACGACGACGACGACGACGACGACGACTGCGGACCAGACTCCTATGCGGATTCCTACGCGGACACCTACGCGGATCCCAATGCGCACGGCGGCAGTGCCCGGAGCGCACTGGGGGGGTAGCGTTACGTCATGGGGGGTGGGAGCGGGGGCCATGACGCCCGTCTTGCCCGAAGCAATAAAGAAACGGGCTTCAAGATCAACAGAGCCCAGCCGGCGTGGTCGCCGCCGCCCGTGTGGACTGCAAGGCGCGCGCGCGCACGCGCCCGAGATCGGAACTAGTCGGCTAAGCACGCGGAAAGCATGCGACACCTTGAAAGATCCCGACTGGAGCCCTGGACCCCGCTGTTCTGCTGCATCGTTCGAGCCAGATCGCTTTGTGAGGGCCCCAGGGGCCCCAAACTCGGCGAAAACCGCCCAGAGAGAAGAAAAGCAGCGCCCGGATCTCGGGGCACGCGGGCAGGTGCGACCTCTGCGGGGGCCACTGCGTGCGCGGCCGCCGCCTCGACCGCTGCGGGGCGCCTCGAGCGTCGCCGAAGGGAGCGCGGAGGCCCCGCCGGGTCACTTCAAGGTCGCCGCGCTGCCCGGGCTGCCCGCACGGCAGTCAGGCGCGGCCGCCTCCGCGGCCCGCTCGGCGGGGACCGTGGCGCCGTCCGGCACGCCCCGCTCGAGGTCCGCCGTGCTCTTCGCCGCGACGCCGCGCCGCCGAGCGCCGACCACCTCGCAAGGCTGAACCTACACGGTGTTGTTCGTTGTTGTTTTGTTTTTCGCCCTGCCTCGTTTGCCTTCGCTCCGCCTCAAATACAGAACTGAGCGACAAATTATCCCAGTGCGACCCTACCTAGGAGTTGGAGCCCCTAGGCAAGCTAAAGCTAACCTAAAGCTAAAGCTAAGCTAGAGCTAAGCTAAAGCTAAAGCTAAAGCTAAACTAAAGCTAAGCTAAAGCTAAAGCTGAAGCTAAAGCTAAAGCTAAAGCTAATGCTAAAGCTAAAGCTGAAGCGAAAGCTAAAGCTAAAGCTAAGGGGACGTAACTGGGGGAACCGCCCGGGGCGGGTTCCAATGCCCGGCCCTTTAAGCTCAGAGAGTAAGAACACTTCTAGGCAGAGCCTAGGTAGGGAACAAAACGGCACACGAGATGGCCAAAACACCGTTTAGGCCCAGCCCTGCCACCTCGATGCCCCACTTGATGGAGAACGACCAGAAGGCCCAGATGGGGCAGAGGACCATGGCGCACCACTGCAGCACGGCGAAGAGGGCCTCAGGCGCGAAGGAGTCCCACGACGCCCAGTGGCCGACGGGGATCCGGAGGACGACGCAGCACACGGACAGGAGCAGTACGGCGGCGATCTCCCTGCGAGACTTGGCGTACCTGCGCGCGGGAATATCTGAATGGATTTGTTTATCGATACACAACTGCATACATGTACACATAGACAGACGGACAGACGGACTGACAGACAGACAGACAGCACAGACCGACAGGCAGGGAGGCAGGCAGGCAGGCAGGCAGGCATATACTATCTGGAAGGATGTAAACCCATACGTTCGACGTCGGCAAATTTCGGTGATGCGCGGGCGGAGGGGAACGCAAAGTTTTGAAGCCCTCTGGGGCCCCAGGTCCAGCTGAAACGGATGCGTTCCCCCGAGACGCCGAGAGGGCATCCTCATGCTGAAATAATATGCGCAGTGTTTTCGCGCAGTGTTTTTGCGTAGTGTTTTGGCGTAGTGTGTTTGCGCATTGTTTTTGCCTAGTGTTTTTGCGTAGCGCTTTTGCGCAATGTGTTTGCATCGTGTTTTTGCGTGACGTTTTTGCGTTGGGTTTGTTGTGCGATTTTGGCGCAGGGTTTTGGCACAGGGTCTTCGCGTGATGTACTTCGGCGCCGCATTTGTGCGTAGAGTTCTTCGGCGTAGAGTTGTCGCGTGGCGCTTTCGTCGCGCAGAGTTTTTGCGAAGTGTTTTGTTTGTTCCCAACCCTCCTTGGTTGGGCATTCGTTTTGAATAGAGGGGTGTGGTCGCGTCCTCCTCCTCCCGCCTCCCGCCTCCTCCTGCCCTCTCTTCGCGGACGATGGGGGCTGCGATCTGCGAAACTGTCGCCATTTTCGAGGGCTGCTGGTGGGTCCTGCGGAGTGAGGCACCGCGCAGATCTGAGCGAGACCTCGCCGTCCCTGGGGGGCTGCGATCTGCGAAACTGTCGTCACTTTCGAGGGGTGCTGATGGGCCCTGCGGAGTGAGGCACCGCGCAGATCTGAGCGGGACCTCGCCGTGCCTTGGGGGCTGCGATCTGCGAAACTGTCGCCACTTTCAAGGGCTGCTGGTGGGTCCTGCGGTCTGAGGCTCCGCGCAGATCTGAGCGGGACCTGACCGTCCCTGCGGGGCTGCGATCTGCGAACCTGTCGCCACTTTCGAAGGCTGCTGGTGGGTCCTGCGGTCTGAGGCACCGCGCAAATCTGAGCGGGACCTCGCCATCCCTCGGGGGGCTGCGAACTGCGAAACTGTCGCCACGTTCGAGGGCTGCTGGTGGGCCCTGCGGAGTGAGGCACCGCGCAAATCTGAGCGGGACCTCGCCGTGTCTCGGGGGGCGCGATCTGCGAAACTGTCGCCACTTTCGAATGCTGCTGGTGGGTCCTGCGGAGTGAGGCACCGCGCAGATTTGAGCGGGACCTCGCCGTGCCTGGGGGGCTGCGATCTGCGAAACTGTCGCCACTTTCGAAGGTTGCTGGTGGGTCCTGCGGTCTGAGGCACCGCGCAAATCTGAGCGGGACCTCGCCGTCCCTGGGGGGGGTGCGATCTGCGAAACCGTCGCCATGTTCGAGTGCTGCTGGTGGGTCCTGCGGAGGGAAGCACCGCGCAGCTTTGAGCGGGACCTCGCCGTGCCTGGGGGGCTGCGATCTGCGAACCTGCCGCCACTTTCGAGGGCTGCTTGTGGGTCCTGCGGAGCGAGGCACCGCGCAGATCTGAGCGGGACCTCGCCGTGCCTCGGGGGCCGCGATCTGCGAAGCTGTCGCCAGCTTCGAAGGCTGCTGGTGGGTCCTGCGGAGCGAGGCACCGCGCAGATCTGAGCGGGACCTCGCCGTCCCTGGGGGGCTGCGATCTGCGAACCTGCCGCCACTGTTGAGGGCTGCTGGTGGGTCCTGCGGAGTTAGGCACCGCGCAGATCTGAGCGGGACCTCGCCGTGCCTGGGGGGCTGCGATCTGCGAACCTGCCGCCACTTTCGAGGGCTGCTGGTGGGTCCTGCGGAGCGAAGCACCGCGCAGATCTGAGCGGGACCTCGCCGTCCCTGGGGGGGCTGCGATCTGCGAACCTGCCGCCACTTTCGAGGGCTGCTGGTGGGTCCTGCGGAGTGAGGCACCGCGCAGATCTGAGCGGGACCTCGCCGTCCCTGCGGGGCTGCGATCAGCGAAACTGTCGCCACTTTCGAAGGCTGCTGGTGGGTCCTGCGGAGTGAAGCACCGCGCAGATCTGAGCGGGACCTCGCCGTGCCTGGGGAACTGCGATCTGCGAAACTGTCGCCATTTTCGATGGCTGCTGGTGGGTCCAGCAGAGTGAGGCACCGCGCAGGCCTCGCCGTCCTTGGGGGGCTGCAATCTGCAAAACCGTCGCCACTTTCGAATGCTGCCAGTGGGTCCTGCGGAGCGAGGCACCGCGCAGATCTGAGCGGGGCCTCGCCGTGCCCTGGGGAGCTGCGATCTGCGAAACTGTCGCCACGTTCAAAGGCCGCTGGTGGGTCCTGCGGCCTGATGCACCGCGCAGATCTGAACGGGACCTCGCCGTGCCTGGGGGGCTGCGATCTGCGAACCTGCCGCCACTTTCGAGGGCTGCTGGTGGGTCCTGCGGAGTGAGGCACCGCGCAGGTCTGAGCGGGACGTCGCCGTCCCTGGGGGGCTGCGATCTGCGAAACTGTCGCCACGTTCGGGGGCTGCTGGTGGGTCCTACGGAGTGGGGCACCGCGCAAATCTGAGCGGGACCTCGCCGTCCCTGGGGGGGCTGCGATCTACGACACTGTCGCCACTTTCGGGGGCTGCTGGTGGGTCCAGCGGAGTGAGGCACCGCGCAGATCTGAGCGGGGCCTCGCCGTCCCTGGGGGGCTGCGATCTGCGAACCTGCCGCCACTTTCGAGGGCTGTTGGTGGGTCTTGCGGAG